GGAAGGAGGGAGGGAGGGAGGGAGGGAGGGAGGGAGGGAGGGAGGGAGGGAGGGAGGGAAGGAAGGAAGAAGAAAAAGAAAAAATAAAAGGGCCGGGCGGTCGTGGCGCACACCTTTAATCCCAGCACTTGGGAGGCAGAGGCAGGTGGATTTCTGAGTTCGAGGCCAGCCTGGTCTACAGAGTGAGTTCCAGGACAACCAGGGTTGCACAGAGAAACCCTGTCTCGAAAAACCAAAAATTAAAATAAAATAAAATAAAATAAAATAAAATTAAATTAAAAAAGAAAAGAGATCTGGAGTGAATATCTGGTCTTGTTTAGTTTTGTTTTAGACATTTTAAATTTAGACCCTGCTGGGAATGTGAGATGGAAGTTTAGCTGTCAGTCAGAACGAAGAGAACCCGAGTGAGAGCTTAACACTGAAGTACGAGTGTTAGAATCTTTACAGAAACATAGGAAGACAGACTGAATTTGTTCCTGTGTCACACTGTCAGTGTGATCAAACAACCCACCCACCTTAGCCTGACATGTTGGCACATACCTGCAATCACAACACATGGGAAACTGGGTAGGAGACTGACTGTAAATGAGACCAGCCTGGGCTATCTGTGCATTTTAGGTCTGTAATACATGATAAGACCCTATTCCAAGAAAAGAATAGGCTGGAAGAAATGAAGGAAGGCACGCACACACATGTATTTGTGGATAAATAGAAAATTTGCTACATCGCATGGTATACTAAACTGTTCACAGTGGCTTCATCTGGAGAGTGAAATTTGGTGTAAGGAAGTACATTTATCTGTTTTTAACATCTTTCAAGGAACTCTTATGTTACAGTCTCTAAAGTGATTAACAGGCTAACAGTTTGCATAAAATTAAAAACCAGGCTGTTTTGTTACAGTTTAGACAAGGTAGCAGAGGTATGAGACAATTTATCAGTGATGACAGGAGAAAAAAAAAAAACTTCCCTAAAGGATGAAATGTTCCTGAATCCCCATAATATCAGGATAAGGTATCCCCAAGGCCACATACATCACAGTGTGTTTTTTAAAACAAGGTTTCTCTGTGTAGCCCTGGCTGTCCTGGCATGTGCTCTGTAGAGCAGGTTGGCCCAAAACCCAGAGAACTGCCTGCCTCTACCTCCAAACAAAAATCAAAAAAACAAAAGCAACAACAACAAAAAATCTGAGATTAAAGGCATGCCCCACCACACATAGCCTTTTCTTGCAGAAGCATGGGAGTCAAAGACTAGTCTACTGAGACTGAATGGCTCTAAGTTCCCTACTGAAGAGAAACTGTTTTTTGTCCTCATTCTGTAATTTTTGGTGTTCTGTCAGGTACTGATCTGGGTTATTGAGAGGCTCTTTCTTGGTCTAAAACTGACACCTAGTGGAATGACTATTTAAATCCTTGCCCTTTTGATCTTGGCCTTTTTTTTTTTTCATAACAAAAGTTATATATTTGAAACTCAAAATGCAGCTCCAGAAAGTAGAAAAAAATGCTTATTCAGAGTGCTAGTCTCAAATTCACAATCATGATGTCTACTCCAGAAAATATAGTCAGCTCTAGTTTGCAACACAAGTTCAAATAGACCAAAGGCCTACCCACATCAAAAAAGATTACTGAGAGAATTCAAATTCACCCTCAACTCAAAGCTCACAATCTTAGCCACTTCAATATACCATTTATCAAGAAAAATAAATGTGTAAAGACACCAACCATAGCTATGACACTGGGAACCTGGATTTTCTCCAGTGTTTCCTTAAGCTGATCCACTTCCACTCGATATTCATCCAGTTGACACTCCAACTTTTCCCTGCGGAGTCGCTCATAGGCCAGCTGCCCCTGCAGCTCTTTGATGGTCCTATCAAAAATGTTTTTTCAGTCAGTTCTGATTTACCTAACAACTATTTTTTGTTAACAGTGTAAACCATCTATACTTTAAAGCAAATAAAATCAATCATTTATTTGTCAACTGTACTTAAGATCTTATATAAACCAGAAGTGATTTAGGGACTGGGGACAAGCAGTGACCATAAAATAAATAAGCAAAGTACATGGTGTGCTGGAAGGTAACAAGAACTAAGAGAAGGAAAAAATAAAGCAGGAATCAGTGATATAAAATGTGGAACAGGTGTCAACTTGAAACAAGCTAGAGTCAAGTGAAAAGAGAACTGCAACTGAGAACGTCCTTCCATTAGACTGACCTGGGAGCTGGTCTATCGTAATGAAAATGAGTGAGATTAGAAGGCCCAGCCAGCTATGACGAACAAGCCAGTAAGCAGCTTCAGTTCTTATCTCCAGGTTCTTGCCTTGGGTTCCTGCCCTGACTTCTCTTCAAAGACAAGAGTGTAACTTGGATGCATAAGGTAAATAATCACTTTCCCTACCCTGTGTTGGTTTTGGTCAGTGTTTCATCACAGCAACAAAAAGCAAAGTAGAACAGAAATTGGTACCAGAGAGTGAGCTGCTGTGGTAACCTGGGTAGGTTGTTTTGGGAAGGATTGTAGAAGCTTTTAGAACTTTGGGCTCCAAGTGCTAAAACCTTAATGAACTGTTGTGGGAGCTTGGAAGTAAGAATTTTGAAAGACGTAGGCTGCTTTGTAAAGTGAGTAGACACTACCAGGGTCATTCCTGTGATGTTTTTTGAGTTAAGAGATCTTTGGAAGCCTGGCAGTGGTGGCACACGCCTTTAATCACAGCACTTGGGAGGCAGAGGCAGGCGGATTTCTGAGTTTGAGGCCAGCCTGGTCTACAGAGTGAGTTCCAGGACAGCCAGGGCTATACAGAGAAACCGTGTCTCGAAAAACCAAAAAACAAACAGAGAGAGAGAGAGAGAGAGAGAGAGAGAGAGAGAGAGAGAGAGAGAGAGAGAGAGAGAGATATCTTGGAAGCAAAGACTATGCTTCACTGCAACAACAGATGCTGTTATCTGGGGCTGAAGAACCAGCTGTGATTAACTAAAGACCAGCACCCACCACTTAAATGAATTTGCTTTTGGAGGCTAATTAATACTGGTTAACTGGGGCATAGAAATTAGGTGTGATTAACAAGAGATAAGAATTACTGAGTTAACATTTTCTGATAGGTATTTCCTCAGGGTCAGCACAGGCTGTGGTCTAGTAGGGAGTCAAGGCTGGATCTCAAACGAAAAGATGAACTTAGAAATGTGTAAGAATTTTCCAAATTCCAGACATGAGGCATAAGCCTTAATTCCAGCATGCAGGAGAAAGACATAGGCAAACTCCTTGAACATGAGGAAGCATTCCTGGACTATAGTGAATTCTGAGCCAACACCCTACATTGTAAGATCCTCACAGGTACTAAATACAAAGCATTGGTTTTAAGGACATTACTTCTTAGACTCCAGCTGTTCCTTCTTCTGCTTTAGATCCTCTTCTGTTATTCCACCCAAGTGTTTAAAGTTGCTCTCAGCGATTTCCAGAAGTTGTCTCAATTCTACAATTTTCTTATGAGCTCTCACTGAAAGACAGTTAAATAGGAACCTAATTTAGATGACAGCACATTCACTTGCAGGATGATGATACTCTCTCAACATTTGGTTCTTTTTCTTTTGCAACATCTTTTTTTTTTTATTGGATGTTTTATTTACATTTCATATTTTGTCCCCTTACCCCATCCCCTACCCACCCAGGAACCCCCTATCCCCTCACCCCTCCTCCTTCTTCTCTGTGGAGCAACATCTTTTAAAAATATTTATTAATTTTATTTTATGTGGATGAGTATTTTGCCTCTGTGTGTGCCTGTGGAGGTCAGAAGAAGGCATTTGACCCCCTGGAACTGGAGTATAGATGGTTCTGAGCTGCCATGTGAGTGCTGGGAACCAAATCCAAATCCTGCCAAAGAGTATATGACACTCTTATCCACTGAGCTATCTCTCCACCTCCATTTGCTTCTTCTTTAACAGAACTTCTTTAACAGTCTGCTGCTTATGGAAGGAACTCATCCAAATGTGATATATATGTGGAAGGGGAAATATCAGCAATGCAAGCAATAAAAAACATAGTTGGAAGATTCTTTATCTGTTATTGGAACATGCATCAGATAATTATAATGCAGACATCATAGGCAAAATATCTTAAAGAAGATTAGCAGTGTTTTAAGATGAGAAGTAAGTACCAGGCCATCTATTATATACTACATGTTAGAAAATTCAAGAAAATTGATGCTTCTTCAGGTTATCCCTTGGTAGAACTCACAATGGAAGGATCTGCCATGTCCCAGGAAAAATAAGCCTGAGATTGTACTAGGAGCTTTTAAGTCTTTTTAAAGAAAAATTAAATATATCTAGACATGAGCTTCAATTTTTCTTAGAAAATACGGTTTAATCACAACTATATATTCCAACCAGAATAACTAAAAACTTCTTCCAAAGATCAAAAGGAAGACAACACATCTGAGCCTCTGCCACAAGCTAAGCAGTTCCCATTCTTTAGTGTATGAAATTAAGCGTTGTAACAAGTCTGTCAGGGTAGCAATAGCAACACTGCTGGATTTCATAGATGAGAAAACTAATGTTCTAAAAGCAACCAAGCTAAACAGTGGTAAAGCTCTGATGTCTGAACCTACTGCCTAAGATCTACTATTCACTCACTATATGGCTTACATGGTTGTACTTAGATTAGCCTCAATTCAAACACATTCTTCTAGCTTTCCTCACCAGAGATCCACTGAAACCATCCTTCTTATCCATTAGAACACACCATGGCTTCCCTGACCATACACAGTGAGAAGAAACAGTAAGATTATGTGGCATGAATATACTCCCTTCAGGATACAGTAAGTATGGTGACAAAGATCCTACATAAACAAGTCTGAAAGCCTTACATCCAGTTATAGGGTAACTTTGGACAAGTAACTTAGCCTCTATAAACCTAGGGCTCTGTCTTAGTCAACAGGCTATGAAGAGATACTGTAGCAGGATATTTATACTGCTACATTGTATTCACAGTGGAGCTCTGTGATTAGGCAGTAGAAGAGGAGGTGGAGCTGGGAGAAGAAAGAGAGGAAGGGGAGGGGGGAAAGAGAGGAAGGGGAGGAGAGAGGGAGCAGCCATGGGAACCACAGATGGGTCTAAAGCTGTCCTGGGTAACAACTTCTATCAAAAGGTTAGATATTGAGTAACAACTCTATTGTGTGAGCATCTTGTTAATTGAGCATTTCCAAATATATAAATCCTTTAGATAATCATTACGCTTTAAGAGTCTTCATTCTACTAGGTACTGCGAGGATGGCAGATATTGTGTGGGGTTCAGCTTTGTGGATACACCATGGTAGATTGATGGGTGCCAGGGTCTGAGCATCTAGCTAGCCAGAGGCCTGGTCAGAGCTGAGGAGCAGCAGGAACATGGCAGCTGCCTGGGAACAACCCAGAGCAGGCACCGTTTTCTAAATATCACTTGTTACAAGACATCATGACCATGGAAACTCTTATAAAGGAAATTTTAATTGGGGCTGGCTTACAGTTTCAGAGGTTTAGCCCACTGTCATCATAGTGAGAAGCATGATAGCATGCAGGCAGATTCGATGCTGGAAAGTTAGCTAGTGTTCTACATCTGGATCAGCAGACAGCAGGGAGAGACAATAGGCCTGGCTTGAGCATTTGGAACCTCAAGATCATCCCCAGTATCACATTTCCTCCAACAAGGGCACACCTAATAATGCCACTCCCTATGAGCCTGTGGGAGTTATTTTCATTCAAGTCACTATAGGCTCTTTATAAATCAAATAATATGATACCTTAGTGTTTCTTAAGAGATATTATCATTCCCATATACGTAAACTGTGACAGATAAAAAAGTGAGGGTGTCAGATCTGAAACTAGAGCTACAGGCAGTTGTGAGCTACCATGTGGGTAGTGGGAATTGAACCAGGTCCTCTGGAAAAGCAGCCAGTACTCTTAACTATTGAGCCATCTCTCCAATTCACTTGTTTATTTGTTTGCTTAAAGCATAACACCTATAAAAATCACAACCTCATTGGTTTCTGGGTATCTGTTTGTGTCAAGCAGCATATATTCTGGAGGAGAGGGGCAGTCTAACTTAAACTAATTTAGGATGTTTTAGTGGTTATCTATTCATTATTGACTGAACAGATCTCTCCCAAAATTCACATTAAAGCTCTATATTCCAGTGTGATGTTACTTGGAGATGGGGTTTTTAGAAGGTGACTGGAGTTAATGTCCTATTATCATGAGATTAATAGCATTAGAGGAGTCCACTTTAGATGGACTACTTTTGCATCTTTGTTCTGACCCTAAGCCTTCCTCACTCTTTCATTTGAGGACATGGTCATAGCACAGTCAATAGCAGGCCCTTCTCCATAAAACAATCATGTTAGACTTTGATCATGTTAGACTTCCAGTGTCTAATTGCAAGAAATAAATTTCTGTTGTTTAACTTTCCCAGTCTCTAACTACAACAGCCTGAGCATACTAAGACACCATTAGATGGAATCAGATTATCGTCCAACTGGTAATCCTATGTTGGAGATTGGTTCAAAGGCTTTGATTCAGTTGGGAATCTGTATGTCCAGACACTGAAGGACCTCCACCCCAACTGTTTTTTTTTTTTTTTTTTTTTTTGGTTTCTTTGTTTTTCGAGACAGGGTTTCTCTATATCGCTCTGGCTGTCCTGGAACTCACTCGGTAGACCAGGCTGGCCTCAAACTCAGAAATCCACCTGTCTCTGCCTCCCAAGTGCTGGGATTAAAGGCGTGCGCCACCACCGCCCGGCCCCAACTGGTTTTTGATCAATCAATAAAGATGCCAATGAAATAAGGTAGGACACTTAGAGTTGTGTGGGTAGAACACAGAGAACAACAGAGGAGATCACCATGACTCTGCGTAGAAGAATGGGACGCAGGAGCAGCAGGAGATAAAGCCAACCAACTATGGGAGATTTGGGCCTGGGGTAGCAGGGGAAGGTTTAGGAGTGTTCAGTCTTTAAGGTAGCCAAGGCATTTTAAAAATAAGCTTGTGCATGTGTGTGTGTGTGTGTGTGTGTGTGTGTGTGTGTGTGTCTTTCATTCATGGATCCAAAGATTGCTCCAGGGTGGGTGTGCATGTGCGATCCACCAGGAGCCAAAGCAGTGAAGCACAACTCACTGCTACAATCCAGAGGACAATGAGAGACTAGAAGTGTTACATGCTTTCTCACCCTCCAGTCTCTTATATCCTCCACAGTAAGAATGATAGTCTTCAAACATAAACCAATGAACATGGCTGTCACTGTTTGAATGACAATGTCCCCCAAAGGTTCTCATATTTGAGGACATGGTCCTTAAATGACTAGGAAATGTAAGCAGTGCAGCCTTGCAGGAAGAAGTCAATGAGATTAGGCTCTAAGAGCTAAAAAGCCTCCTTGAGTTTTTTTCTCTCTCCTTCAAAGCTCCCTGCTTCCTGTTCCTGCCGCCATGCCTGTGGCCAGCAGCTTGCTACTATAATTATACCTCCCTGCAGGACTGACACCTTTCTGGGACTATAAGCCTAAATAAACTATTCCTTCTCTAAGATGCTTAGTATTAAGCAACAGAAACATGATTAATACATTCTCTCAGCTGTTAGGAGCACTTGCTACTCTTCCTGAGAATTCAAGTTAGGACCCCAGCACCCACATTTAGTGGCTGTCTTAGTTAGTGTTTTACTGCTGTGAAGAGACAATATGACCTAAGCAACTCTTATAAAGGCAAACATTTACTTTTTTTTTTTAAATATTTATTTATTTATTGTATTGATGAGTACACTGTAGCTGTCTTCAGACACACCAGAAGAGGGCATCCAATCTCATTACGGATGGTTGTGAGCCACCATGTGGTTGCTGGGATTTGAACTCAGGACCTCTGGAAGAGCAGTCAGTGCTCTTAACCGCTGAGCCATCTCTCCAGCCCAAAGGCAAACATTTAATTGAGGCTGGTTTACTATGGTTTCAGAGGTTTAGTCCATTATCATCACGGTAGGAAGAATGACAGCATCCAGGCAGACATTGTTAGCATTCTGTCTAAACTCTACCCCATAGTTGCCTGGCAATAGCCAGGTATACTCCTCCCCACAGTTACCTGGCAATAGCCAGGTAGGCCTGACCAGTGGGCTTGTTCCCTCTCTTGATCTCTTGCCTCTTGCTTCTCTCTTGCCCTTGCTCTCTCCTTCCCATTCGCTTCCCCTCCCCCTCTCTCCACGTGCTCATGGCCAGCCTCTACTTCTCTACTCCCTCTCTGTCTGCCTTTCTTTGCCTCTACTACCCTCTTAACTTCCCTCCCCATGCCCTGAATAAACTCTATTCTATACTATCGTGTGGCTGGTCTCTCAGGGGGAAGGGATGTCTTAGCATGGGTCCACTGAGGCACTCCCTTCCCCTACACCTCACCACACCCCCATAGAACATATTCCTTTTCTCTTTATCTTTTTATGAACACATCAGACATGGTGCCAGAGAAAGAGCTCAGAGTTTTACATCTTGATCTGATGGCCACTAGGAGAACACTGACTTCCATGCAGCTAGGAGGAGGGGCTCAAAGCACAGCCCCACAGTGACACACTTCCTCCAACAAGGCCACACCTACTAATAGTGCTATTCCCTGGGCCAAGCATATTCAAAGCTCTACAGTGGCTCAAAACCTAAAACTACAGCCCCAAGGGGATCCAAAGCCTCTGGACTCCAAGGTTATCTAAATTCATGTGCACACATGCACATACACACACACACACATATGCACCCCCACAATAAAAAAAATAGCAAAAAGTAAATATTTTCAAAAGAAAATTATAAACACTACCATGGTTTTAAAAAATAAAAAAATCAGTTCAAAGTCATGGAGAAATGATTTACATGTGTACCAATGTAATCCTAGCATTTCACACTGTCTAACACATAAACAATATTCAGTAAGCACATGCTGGATGATAAAAGAGAAATAACTGAGAAAGCACAGTTACCAAGACATCATGTAGTTGAGTTACAGAGACATCTATGTTGAGTCCAGAATATTTTGTAAAGTCCAAAATGCAGAACTGTCTCTGGTATACTTCCATAGTCCTTAGCCAAGGCTGTGAACAGTGTACAGATCCACACATGTTGGATAAATGGCATGCCTTCCTCATCCATGTCACCTATCTAAATCCTACCCATTCAAGGGAAAGCCCAAACCACACTTCTACAAAGTTTCTCTTGCTACACTCTTCTGAGTGAATAATCCTTTTAAATGCATTGCCATTCACCTAACTATCCAGGCCAAGTGCCTATGAGTCATCTTTCCCTGCCTTCATCTTCAAACTCCTCCCACCCAGATCAATCAGCAAATCCCACGGCCCCCTTTAACAGCATAGCCAAACCTCACTATCTCCATTCCAAACCAAGCTATCACCAACTCTCTTCTCAATTAAGGCCACTTCCTTTGACCTTCCCACTTTCATTCAGGCCCTGAGAAAGGAAACGGCCTTTCAACCCTCTGGAAATCTAGATACAAAAACAAGTAGAACTAATCAGATCCTGGCTTGCTTTCTTTACAACCAACCTCTAGGTAATGTATAGCCTTATTACTGCTGTCTGGTTAAAACATCATGGTGTGTGTGGGGGGGGAGATCTTAAAAGGAAATACACAGTGTTAATTCGAGCTCTTCTGGAATGAAAATCTCTAGTATAAAAAACACTGAAGCAAAACAAGAATGTGTCTGGTAGCCATGGGCCTCCATTACAGACTGTAGAGCCCAGGAACAATACAGATAGCACTGTACCGCTCTTGCACAATTCCTTTACAAATTTCTAAATTAAACACTTTATCCATATTGTCAAATAAATATGTTTTCTCCTAATTAACCCACATTAAATGTTACATTCTTTGTACCCCTCAGTCTGCTACATCTCAGTAGTTAGAATAACAGTCTTTTTTCAAGAATAATAGTCTTTAAACACACATCAAATAACATCATTCTTGCCCTAAACTCCTCCAAAGGCTTAAAAGAAAACCTAAATCTAAATTCTTATTAGGGTCTTTATGATCCTACTAGGCCCCTACTCACCTCTCCAAGCTTCTCTGTTAACTTCTTAGTGACTCCACTCAGGCACACTGATACTCACCTTTGCACATGCTCTGTTTAGTATTCCCTCCCAAGACCTTCATACAGTTTATTCTCATCATTCAGGTCTCTTCTGAAATGTCACCTCAGAGACCTAATAGTTACCTATACCATCACCCTGACTCATTTCCTTTATACTCCTATTTTCTTTTCAATTCTTTATTACTCTCCCCTATGGCTACCAATACCAAACAGTAGGTTCTTTGAATTGGTCCATTTCTCTAATAACGACAACTGTCTGGCACAGTAGATAAGCAGAAAATTTGTTGCAAACATTGTTTTTAAAAATTGCTGGACTGAGAATCTATGCATAACAACTAGTGAAAAAAGAAGCCATAAATTTGAAGGGGGGGAGGGTATATTAGAAGTTTTGAAGGGAGTAAAGGGAAAGGAGAAAAGGCATAATTATATTATAATCTCAAAAATAAAATAATCATTAGTGCTAGAGAGATAAGCTAACAGCTAAGAGCACTTGTTGCTCCTGCAGAGGATCCAGGTTTGATTCCTAGGACGACATGGTGCCTATAACATGCTGACTGTATCTGCAGCTCCAGAGGATCTGATGCCTACTTCTGGACTTTGTGAGCACCAGTAATATACATGGTACACAGACATATATACAAACAAAACACACACATAAAGATAATGAAAATAATGAACCTTTACAAAAAGATAATTTACCAGCAGGCCTTGGAAATGTTTTTGTGTATGCTAGGGTGGGAAGGAGTTAAAATCTTCCTATGTAGTCCACGCTTGCTCTCAGCTCACTATACAGCCCAGACTGGCCTCAGACTTTGATCCTCTCACTCAGCCTCCCTAGTGCCAGCATTATCACTCTTGACTTGGCTCTTTCCATGCCTATGATCCACTTAAATACATTTGTCTTATGTAACTTCTTTAGTTTCCATGTTACACTCTTTCATTCCAAAGACCATATCTTACACTTAGTCATACTTTCAATAACTCCTAGCACAAAAACACTGGAACTGGTTCTGATTCTGAAAATACCAAATTACTTTTCTTTGCAGACAATGTTATTTGAATAAGCTCCATACTTGAGGTAAAAAAAAAAAAGTAGGCTTGATTGTTAATTTTTATTTATGTGTATTGTTAATTTGTATCTATGCATATGGTGGGGCGATGCCACCTAGAGCCTAAGCTACACTAGAAGTGGGGGCAAGAAATCAACTCTAATGGAGCAGCAAGAGCTCTTAACCACCCACTGAGCCAGCTCCCCAGCCCTAGTATTTGTCTGCCTTTATTTCTTTGTTTGTTTACAGTGTGTGTATGATATATATTGTCTGTGTACACACATTCATATGTACACATGTTCTTTCATGTGCACTCAGGCAAGCATGTACTATAACATGTTTGGGGTTCAAACAACCTCTGGTGTTGGTTCTTGCTTTCCATCATGATAGAGACAGGTTCTCTTTGTTGTTTGTGGATGCCTACTCCAGGTTACTCCAGGTTACTCCAGGTTACCTGGCCCTCAAGCTTTGACACATTACCTTATCTTTGCCTCCCATCACGTGTTAGGAGCACTGTATTATAGAAGCATGCCACCTTGCCAGTGTTACATGAGTTCTAAAGATTACATGCAGTGATTTTTACCTACTGAGCCATCTCTCCAGCCCCGTGGCCGTTGTAGTTTTGAGTGGCTGATTCATGATAGAGGCAGCATACTTACTTCTGGCATTTGCTTTGTCTGATTCACTCAAACATAAGTCATCCTTGGCATCGGTGCTTCCTTCAACACCGTGCCTTAAAAAAAAATTCATATGCTCTTTATCACTTTCAATGTCATCTATGTCATATTTCTGTAGCCCCTCCAAGAGTTTCACTGCGGCCAAATGAGCGAATCTGTAAAAAAGAATTAATAATTAACCAGATCCAAAACAACTATACATTTAAACTGCAGGTCACACTTAGACAATTTCACTGTACATGCACTTCAATCATCCCACCCCCCAAGCAAGAAAGCAAGCCTGTTCCTGAAAGTCACTGAGAACTGACCTGCACTCAGCCATGTGGGAACCTTGGTTATTGAATACTATAAAGTACTTCTATTGAGAAGTGATCCCACAAGTGCTGCTGCTGAAAAGTCCACTGAGGGAGGAGATCCCACATAAAAATAGTATTTAGCATGCCTTCAAACTGAATTACTCTATGGACTACAGAGCCCAGAAGATTCCCTTGATTCTCTATTTTATTTACTTCTGCTAGCCCAAGGCAAGGTGACAAAATTAATTCTGGTTCCAGTTTTAGAGTTAATTCTAGTTTTTATCATAATCACTTTCTCACTTACTCTTCATCCTTCAACCCAAAGCACTTAGCACATTTGAAATTTAAAGGAATAATGCCATCTCCTTCTGTTTGCTATTCTCTTTGCTCCCTTTCACATTTCATTAAACCTCTAATAATAATTTTTTTGGGGAGGGTTTGGTTTTTCGAGACAGGGTTTCTCTGTGTAGTCCTGGCTGTCCTGGAACTCACTCTGCAGACCAGGCTGGCCTTGAACTCAGAAATCTGCCTGCCTCTGCCTCCCAAGTGCTGGGATTAAAGGCGTGCACCACCACTGCCTGGCATAAATTCTTAATCTTAGAAATGTTTCTGTTGTAAATAAGTGAAACAAGCATTATTTTCCCATAATGTTCTTAACTGAAATATATATTGCTTTCTTCTAGGGCACGGAGAATTGCCCTAGTATAGAATATTAAATTCTACTTTCCACACTGTTACGGTTTGAATGTGTAATGTTCCCTATACTTATGTTTTGAATACCCAGCCAGGTCTCCTATCATGCTATAAGGGAGGCTGTTAGGAGATAAAGCCTGGTGGACAGAAATAGGCTGCTAGAGAGAAGGCTTTGAAGAGTATACCCACCACTGGAGAGCCAGAGATGACTGCTTCCGGGTTTGCTTATGTGAACAACCACCACCACATATTCTCACCACCAAGCCTTGGCTGCCAGGCCTTCCTAACTGTGCTGAGCTGAAATACTCTGAAACCCATGAGCCCAAATTAGCTTTTCTCCTTTCAAGTTGTTGATTAGTTAATTTGGTTAAAGCAATGCAAAAGAAACTAATACATTCATATTTTTTAAACTATACATTATACATACATTCTTATTCTTTTAATCAGGTACAGCAAGTAAATTATTAAAGAGCTATCAATCCAGCTGTTTGCAGCTCGGTTGTACAGTACTTGTCTAATATGTACAAGCACCCAGGTTTGATTCCCAGCACCACAAGAAGAAAAATAAAATTTAGTAATAAAGGTATCTAGAGTTGTCAGGCTGACAAGGGACAGCAGTAAGGAGCTATGGTAGACTAGAGACAGCCAGGACACGCTTGTATCTTCACAAAATTGAAAAAAGAACTCTGGGTGTGTAGCTACAGGCATGTGCAACAGATAGTGACCAGGTCAAATCCAAACATACTGTACCTTAAATTATGGAAGAAGCAAAGAACTGCAGTACTACACTACTAGTACCACTGTAGTGACCTCTAGGTAGCACAGCATGGGACGAGAAAGAAAATTCCACTCAGGGCTTTAAGAAAAAGGAGAGAAGGGAACCTGGAAAAAAGATCCATGGGCACTGTGCAAAATTAGTGTAAGACCGCAGATCTGGATCTATCTGTAGACACGCACAGGAAAAGGCCCCAGCACTTGCTAATTCGCTCAGTGTGCTATGCTGAGCAAGCATACAAAGGGAGGTGCTACCATGGAACCTCAGGCTTAAAGAACTAAGGGCCCTGCATCTTCACACCTTCAAGTGCCAGTGGCCTCTCCTCTTCACTAGCTCCACAAGTGCTTGCTGCAAGAGTCAATGTGGGCCTAAGAAACCTAAGAAACGGGCTGTGATTTGAATACAGATTTACCGATACAGATCTCCAGGGCTGGGAAATGCACGCAGAGGGAAACAGGGAAACTTCCATTTGGCAATGGTAGCCTGACCTCTGAGAAGTGGAGTGAAAGTAGCCATGGGTGGCTATAAGCAGGGGCTGGAACAGAGACCAGCATTGCTAGAGCACAGAGGATTCCTCAGTGCCCATCCGTGAATCATGCCCTTGGTGCAGACTGTGTGGGTTTGACCACCTTCTCCACTCTGAACCTCCAGAGACAAATGGTAGAAATATGCCATAGCTTTGGTGTTCCCATGCCCAAGCACACGCAGGAGGTAGACTGTGCCAGTACATGAGGCACCACTCCTGTACTTGCTGCAGTGCTGGGTTCACATACAGAGATGACAGGCATGAACTGAGCCAGTGGCAGTCACCGTCCTAGCTCTTGCCTAGCTAAGTAAGGCTCAGAAAGGGCCCAGCCTCCACACTGTTCTTTCAGGTACAACCTGTTTGGAATAGAGAAAAAAACAACTCTCTGCCCACTTCCCCAACTCCAGTACATTTCAAAAGAAGCGGCTTGGCAGGAGAAGAAACATCAAATCTCTCATCTGCTTATGGGAAAGAACTAATGTTTTTTTCTTTCTTTTTGAGACAGGGTCATGCTTTACAGCCCTGGCTGGCCTCAAACTACAGAGATCTTCCCACCCCTGCCTTCAGAATGGTCGCCATGTACTATAATGCCCATCGTGGCTTTAATCACTTTTTTTTTCTTCTAACTTTCTTTTTCCTATTATTTCTCATACCTTAGTTCTACATCCCTTTCCTCTCTTGCCAATCTTCCTGCTACTTTCCCCTATTCCCGCTCCTTGTGAATTAGTTTTTAATATCCTAACTTACCCTATAAGTTCCCTTTGTTATCTTTTTTATTCTACTTAAGAGATATAGTCCTTATTTCCATTTTTTTACTTTACTATATATAAGTATTAGGTTAGATATATGGTAGCATATGCCTATAATCTCAGCCCTTGGGAAGCTGAGGTGGCAGGAGGATTATAGCTTTGAGGCCAGTTTGGACTGTCTGGTAATTTAAAGCCAGCCTGGACTATGGAGAAAGACCATGTCTCAAACAAGCAAATAAAGTTGAGTCTTGACAAAGGCAGTGAAGGAAGCACTTTCAACAAATAGTGCAATAACTGATATCCATATGCAAAAGAATGAACTTATATGCATATCTAGTACAACATATTTTTTAAAAAAATTATAATGAACCATAGACCTTGCAGCCTACAACTATACAACTTCTAGAAGAAATCATAGAATGCAAAGTCACTAAGATTTTTCAAGATCTAACACCAAACACATGCTCCAAAAAAGGAAAACTTCACTAAAACTGACTCATCTTCAAAGATATTTTAAGAGTATGAAAACATCCCACAACTGAGAGAAAAATATTCTTTGCAAAGGATATTTTCTGAGAAAGAACTGGTATCTAGAATTTATAAAGAACCCTTTAGAACCAACAACAAGAAAATAACCTGAGGTATAATGGCACAAACCTCTAATCCTAGCACCACGGAGGCTGAGACAGGACTGCAAGTTGAAGGGGAGCCTGAGCTACATATAAGTAAAGTTAAGTAGCTGTTGGACCCAACCAAACATCAGGTCAAGCCTCACCTGCCACTGTAGCCCATACTCATAGTATAAATTCAAGCAGCTCTGAATGACAAAACTGCAGAATGTTATGTTGCAAATCCTCCAGCAAGGGTCAACATAAATGCTGCTGCTTCAAAAAATAATGGTTTCCTTGACAGCAGTCTAAGTCCCATCCCTCTGCAATCTCTCTTTCATCATTTACTCTCATCTGTGCTGTTTCCAAAGCTACACCACTGACAGTCAGGAGAGCTGGCAGTTTTCCTCACTCATACACACAATGTAGTGTGGGTGAGGCAATGGTTCGGTTGCAAAGCTTTGTTTGTACATCAGTGTTCCGAGGGCTTCCATGACTGCAGGCACTGTGCTTCCCACCTTCACAGTCTGTCCGACCTGTACCACAGTGCCTGGCCTGCAAGAACAGACTAGACACTGAAGAAACAACCAAAGGAGCACAAAGACGGGCCTGACCTGCATGAGCTCGCAGAGTTCTGTAATAGAGGCTACATTTAGCTCCCACGTGAATTCCTAACTACGATTCAAACCGTTAGAGCTGCTCCTCTACTCTCACTGTTGTTATTCCTTTTTACCAGTTTCTCAGCAAGGCATCAAGGATATCTGGGTGGAACGAGCATTGTGCGCACTGGTTAGATCACTGCAGCATGCTGGAGACTCCTGGACCTGACCTTATCAGGTAGATGCTCACTGTCATGGACTTTGCTCTTATTTTGAAATGTTCCTTCCCCAAAGGAAAGAGAACTAATACTATCATCTAACACCATCATCCAGCTGAGAATGATTGCTTTAAAGAGGAGACCCAATAAGAAATCAACATCAATCGACTTAAAAACTGTGATTCCATCAGCATCTTACTGAGTCCCCCAAACCTGTATTAAATAATCAGAAATTTCTAAGTATGAGAAACTAAATGCACAACTCTGAAAGCAGAAGCAAGAAGACAGTACAAGCAAGTAGAAGACAGGGTTTTATACCTCTTAGCCACATCGCTGGGTCTCTCTCCTGCTTTGTTGGTAATATTGCTGTCAGCTCCTGTGTCAATCAACCACTGCAAACAATCTATGTGGCCCTGTCCAGCAGCTTTAAACAAGAAAAAAAAAAAAGGAAACACGTAATTCATACAGAGAGAGTTGTTACTGAAAACAGTTTCCTGACATTTTGACCTCGTAGTAACTAACAAAAGTATGCTGTGCAAATATTTTCTATTTTTCACTTGTACATCTATTAGACATTTAACCAAATATCTACTGTGCTCAGGTCCTATCCAAATAATTTTGGATATAGATACAAAAATTGGAATTTAAACCTCAAACAAGCAGGACTAGAAAGCAGTCTTCCTAACCCTTTCTAAAGTGCTATGTCATACTGCACAACTCCTATACAGTCTTGTGTCTCCAATATGAGCATTCCAATCACAAGGACCTCAGAGACATCAATAATCTTGCTCTGTGCATATAAAGTCACACACAAAAGAAATCTTTTCTCAAACATTTTACATATACTTATTTACTCTGTGTCTGTACCTGCACAGTATAAATCTGGAGGTCAAAGGACAACTTCCAGCACTTCTATCATGTAGATTCCAAGGATCAAACTCATGTCATCAGGTCTGGGTTTCACTAATCATTAAATATAGTGAGAGATATACACTGATAACTGTCATAAATACATTGTTACTAAGTTGTAAGGAGCCGCCATTAGAAGATGGCGCTTGTTCCCTCTGTTTGAGGTGGAAAACAACTGCATTCAGGGTCATAAACACCTGCTGTGAGCCTGTGTATCTTTCAGACCCAGCTCCTCACCCTCCCGAGCAGTATGTAAATGAAGTTCTGCAAGAAGCACCAATTAGACACTTACACACAGTTGTGATAACTATTTAAGCAGCACCCATTTCAGGCTTGGGGTCTTTCGCTTTACAATCAATGGTGTGTTCCCCAATAAAGTGCGTGAGGAAGGATCCTGTTGTTGCGTCACTAAGTCTCTATAAACACATCATCACTTTGATCCTTAGTGACTTGTTCTCTTCCTCAATGCCTACTCCCTTTTCCTCATCTCTCTCCTATCCAGAACCAGCTGCCAAAAATATACTACAGAATTTCCCAAAGTAAATATCCATTGGCCAAAAAAACAGTAATATACTCTGTCTTTCCTGTTCTTAAATGTGATCAAAAAACTGTATTTGTGATCATGAATAATGGTGTTTGGTTTAAAATAATTAGTTTAGGTTGACATTTCCATCCTATCTCAGGTAATATAAAGAAAGAATGAAGGATAAATAATTTCTCTAACATGGAATATAAGGAAAAGATTCTGGGCCGGGCAGTGGTGGCACACGCCTTTAATCCCAGCACTTAGGAGGCAGAGGCAGGCGGATTTCTGAGTTCGAGGCCAGCCTGGTCTACAGAGTGAGTTCCAGGACAGCCAGGGCTACACAGAGAAACACTGTCTCGAAAAAAAAAATTGGAAAAAAGAAAAAAGAAAAAGATTCTGGAAAAAAGAAAAGAAAAGAAAAAGATTCTGGCCTCTAGAGATGGCTCAGCCACTAAGAGCACTTGTTTTTCAAATCCCAGCACCCACATGGCAGCTCACAACTGTCAATAGCTCCACTGTCAGGGATCTGATGCTCTTTTCTAGATTGTGCAAGTAACCAGGCATGCACATGGAGCATACCCACACATCCAGACAAACACTCATATACATAAAATAAAATTAAAACTATTCTTTAAAGAAAGGGACAGAACATGGTGGGACACACCTTTAATCCCAGCACCCAGGACAGAGGCAGAGACAGGCAGATCTCTGTGAGTTTGAGGCCAGCCTACTTCACACATGTAGACAGGAATATATAGCAAGACCTTGTTTTCAAAATAAAATTTAAAATAAAGGAAAGAGGAAAGTAAAGTAATTCTTTTAAAAATACTGTTATAAGAATGTTCCTTACAGGGGATAGATGGGAGCACATCCTCATAGAAGCAGGGGGAGGGGGATGAGATAGGGGGTTCCTGGGTGGGAGGGGGGAATGGAGTAAGGGGATAACATCTGAAATGTAAATAAAATATCCAATAAAAAAAGAATTAAAAAATACTCCTTACAAGGCGTACATGTTTGCCATCATAAAAGGCACTTGAACTAGAAATGAGATGTTGTAGATGCCATATAATGCCCACTGCTGTCCCTGAGGGAAGGTTTCTGATATTCAAGGATGACTAACACGTAAGAAATCACAACTGAAGCTGAAGCAGGAAGAGCTCACCTTTATGCATGGGCGTTGATCCATTATCATCACGTTCATTCAGATTGATTACCCCATCGCCTATCAGTTTCTTAAGCATTTCTAAATCACCCTTAAAGGCAGCCGCATGACCTGGAAAGGCTACATCTGAATAAAAAGCCAGCATTTTAGTAAACTCAAGGCTTTGCTCTTTTCCCTACTTCAAGCTGTTACAAAATCCAGGTTTCAATATTATCTTATGTATGAAGCTACTCAGGTGAGTTCATGTGATACATTGACGAATAAAAAGAATTGTAAGATATCACCAAACGTGCTACACTATCTAAAACAGCAAAATTACAAATTACAACTTACTAACATTGAACATTTCTACCATTTGAAAACAAAAAGAGAATGAATGGGAGAAAATGTTTGCAATATAAATCTGACAGAGTTTATTAATGTTTGTAACAGAGTTATGTCAAGAATACATATTTTTTAAAAAAACTTTCAATAACTAGAAAAGTCATATCTTTAAGATGTCAGAAAGTTAAAAAGATATTTCATTAAAGAAGGAGCATGAGTGTCCAATCCAGGAAAATATGCTCCAGCAAACAGTACACACCCATTAAAATGACTACAATAGAATAGAGTGACAACTATCTTTGATGACAAGTATATGAGTATTTTGGAAAGCAGTTTGAAAGCAGCTGCTTGCTGGATGTGGTGACACACGCTTTTAATCCCAGCACTTGGGAGACAGAGCCAGGTGGATCTCTGAGTTCGAGGCTAGCCTGGCCTACAGAACAAGTCCCAAGACAGCCAGGGGCTACACAGAGAAACCCTGTTTCAAAATACCAAAAGTAAGTAAATAAATAGAAAGAGAGAGAGAGAGAGAGAGAGGGAGGGAGGGAGGGAGGGAGGGAGGGAGGGAGGGAGGCAGAGGGAGGGAGAAAGAAAGAAAGAAAGAAAGAAAGAAAGAAAGAAAGAAAGAAAGAAAGAAGAGAGAAAGGAAAAACAGCTCCTTAAACAGTATCTAAGTTAGATATACACCCGCCACATGTTCCACTCCTAGTACTTACCAAGAGGAATAGAAACATACGTCCATGTAAACATAACAGCCACCCTACTGGTAATTCCCAAACTGAAAGCACTGCAAATGCTCACCTCAGTTCAATTGATCATAGAGTACAATGTAGCAATAAAAAGAATAAACTAAAAATACACAGAAGACATATGAATTCTCAAGATGACCAAATAAAAAACTCTAGAAAATGCAAGCTAATCTGTATTAACACATAGCAGATCAGTGATTGCATAGGGACAGACCATCAGTCCAGGGATAGCCCCAGCAACAATGGGCTGGGCCCTCCACCATCAATCACTAATTAAGAAAATGACCTACAGGCTTGCCTACAGCCAGATTTTAAGGGGGCCATTTTCTCAATTTAGACTCCTTCCTCTCAAATGACTCTAGATTATATCAAGTTGACATGAACCTAGCCAACAGAGTCACATACAGTGTTCTTTATACTACTATCTACATGCTTTGTCTAAAATGCTTCATAATAAAGGATCTGGATTAATATGGATAGAAACATATTGTTAAGTTTCAATGTAGCATCTGCCTTACACGTTCTTTGTCTTTGAATTCCATTTTATTATTACCATTCTCTATTTTAAAATGTAGGGTTAATTACTCACCATCCTGGTCATCTGGATGGTTTCCTTCATACTCAGCCCCCTGAATAAACTGTACAATATTCTGTTTCAAAAACCGATGGGCCAGGTCCAATACATTTTCTCCATTATCATTGAAGGCTTTTAAGGCTTGTGCTGCGCTGTTCATTCTACTCAGTAGGAACTTAAAACAATGGAGGTGGCCTTCCATGGCTGCTAAGTGAACTGTAGATAAGACGAAAGGATAGACTTAGTCCTAAAAATGACAACAAAATACCTTGAAAAGCTGGGTGTGACAGTTCATGACTATAACACAAGAAGTCCTAATGGGAGGGGAAAAAGCAATGTGAAGTTCCAGGTCATCCTGGGCTACCAGGCTAGCCAGAGACTACATGGAAACACAGTCTAAAATTGTTTTTGAAAATAGCTTCAGGCAAATGTAGTGGTACACACCTTTAATCCAAGCAATCTGGAAGCAGAGGCAGGCAGATCTCTGTTGAGTTAAAAGCCAGCCTGACCTACATAAGTTTTAAAGCTTAGAATAAAGAGATCCTGTCTCAAAAACACTAAGAAAGAAAGAAAAAAGACCAAAGATGAATGATATTTTTATCATTCTTCATTTGTCATCTTCTTATAATTCATTATTCTTATAATAAATACAAAAACTTAAGTTAAAACTCTACACTAACCAGTCATGGAGGCACAAGACTGCAATCCCACTATTTGAGAGGCGTAGGCAAGAGTACAAATTCAAAGCCAGCACAGGCTACATAGCAAGACCCTGCCTCAAAAAGAAAAAGACTGCATACTAAGTACACACTAGCAAATTCACTATTTCCATACTAAATCCTCAAAAGTAAAATAACAAAATTCATTTCTAAAAGTTATAAAGAACCAAAACAAACAAGAATGGGATGAACAGACAAAAAAAAATTCAAAGAATTCTTAAAAGATCAGACTGAAAGTCAGACAGAAGCCAGAACTTTCAGCATGGAGAGGGTGGGAGTTTATGAGCAATGACTACTATCTGCTTCTCCCCTTTGCTATATTTATCCAAACATGTGCCACTATACAATGTTGTATGTTTCCATCATTCATTTTGATGATTATCTCTTTTCATTTTCTACTAAATGAAAGCAATGACTTTGCACTTTCTGCTTAGTTACCTCTAACACATAGACACATGGGTGGTAGTCAACAAATATATACAAAATTAATGTCTTGAGAAGGCAACTCTCTCTCAGAGCACATACTCATGATATGCCCCATGTCTCTCTAAGCACCTCTTTTTCCTTCATGCTTAAATCACTATTAAGATATCTATCAAACCCCAAATCTTCTCTATAAACAGTTTTTAGGAGTGTCTCCAGTTACTCAAGAATTTTTATCCTCTATATTATACTAATACAACAAGTATACATATTTAAAAAACAAGTTTGATCTTTTTAATGAAAAAACAGCAAAAAAAAAAACCAACAAAATATGGTCAGACATACTTGAAAGGAAACTCACTGTGACCTTGTATAGCACATAAAAAAGTCAATTCTGAGTGGGCTGGAGATATAAACATAAAAGTAAAATAATGGAGGCATGTCTCGGCACTTCAGAGCACTTCTGCTCTTCTTTTTTTTTAAACTAGGCAGTGTTTTATTTTCCTTTACAACTTAATAAATACTTCTTGATGACTGCACATGGGGTAAGGCTGCTTGATAGTTCAGAAAGGTCACAGCATTGGTGTTTTCCTGACAGCATGTACTCTTCGGTAGTGAGTGGAATGACTTGTATGACATCACTGTCAAACCAGCAAGACTGCATTTATGCACCCATCGTTTTTGGGATTGTTGGTAACTTGGACATACTTTCCTCAAATAACCTTGCCTCCTTGTGTCACAAGGCCCAACTTGCTCACATTCACTTCAATAACTGTACCTTTGGTGATCACATCTAGGATTGTGCATAATGGGGATGATGGATTCTTTTTCACACCGAGTATAGGCAGGCAAAAAGTAGCCTTCAGATCAGGGTGTGTGACATGGGCTTGTTTGAAACGTAGACCCATTGGCCTAATGAACCTGTTCATATTTAGGTGGTTTTCTTGTAAAACCATCACCAACAAAGCAGACTTTAGTAACCATTCTCTTCCATGCCTTCTTTTTTCTTTTTCCTATTGGAATAACTTTCAACGCTTCTGTTTCTCCTCGGGCACCAACTTTGGGTAGAGGGGCCTCCCATTTTCCCCTCTTTTCTTTTTGTTTCTGCTTAATCATGTTGAAAAGTACTTTTACTCTCGACTGTCCCTCTCTGTTCAGCTGACAGGTAGGGACTGCGCCTTGTGGAGTCTTCTCACCATCCTTCTGCTTTGTGTTTCTCTCTTTCATGCATCTTAATAGTCTTTTTCATTTGTATTTTCTCTGCATGGCGCTGTTTATGGTAGAGCTTAGCCTTCAGGCCAATCTTTTTTTTTTTTTTCCTTCTTTGAACATTCATGGGCCTCCCACCTTTCTTTCTTTCTCTTTTTCTCATGGTAGTCCAAATGATATCCATATCATTTGTGATGCAATTCAATATATTCATTTTGTGGCATGATGATAGCCGCAGAGCAGCCATCCGCGACCTCCCAGGTTCCAAAAACCTCTTAATTACTGAATGTCACTGGCTCACTGCACTTCTGCTCTTACATCAGACCTTAGTCTCCACACCCATATTGTACAGCTCACAATTGCCTGGAACTCCAGATAGACATATTACACAGAGACATGTACACATACAATAAATGCTTTAAATCATAAAAATACAGATATAAATATAATTTTAAACAACTATAATTAAGGCTCTATAACTACATATACATACAAATATATATGTATATGTATATATATGTTATAAAGATATGAAATCCATAAGGCAGAAGGATAACTATTTGGAGATTTGGGGGTTGGGGCAATAAAAAAGGGAAATATGAGAGTGATTATCAGTTTAAAATAATACTATCAAAATATAGTAACATTTTTTAATGCCAACTTAAAAAGTAATAAAGAAGGTAAGCTGGGAATATGGACGAAATCATTGCAGTAGCTCCCATCTGATTAACCCTGGCCACTAACTTAACTAGTTGTTTTACATTTAGTAATTCTGTTGGCTTATTGGGTCTCTTACTGGTTTTAATTTGTATTTTTGCTCATGACTACTGCCAGGGCACATCATTTTATATCTTTATGTTTAATGGCTACTTGATTAGTTTCTGTTGTGATATACCAACCAGTTCAGACATCCTTCCTATATTCTGGGTCTTCTTCAAGAGCTGTAAGGATTCTTCATAGAGTCTAGATGGAAGCCTTGAGCTACATACATTGCACATACCTTTTCCATTTTACAGATTGCTGTTTTACTCTTGAGACATCCTTTAATTAATACAAGTTTATTTTAATGTAGTCCAATATAATAATATCTTCTCTTTGTGGTTAGTACTTTTTATATTTGATTCAAAAATAGCCCTCCCTTACCTTTCAAGTGCTGTAACTAGAGACATACCACCAAACACAGCTGCATGTGAAACTCTTTTTTTTTTTTTCTTCAATTTGTTGCAGCTCTACTTCTGGATCAACTCTTTTTTTTTTTTTTTTTTTAGATTAAATCGTAATTTGTACTTATTCACACAGGAGTTATGAACACAAAAAGGCAGGATGTGTGAAGGGTATGACACTGGAGCAAGGGTGTTCAGGGGGAGTACAGATATCTTTCAGAGCAGAGTATCGGCTGGGAAAGGGTTCAGGGGATAGGTCACTGTGACTCTGCCTATGATTCACTTGTCCTTATCTAAGTTGGTATTGTCTGCCAAGGCTACCTATTTACAAGGTCTATGACTACTCAGGCTTGTAAATTTCTACAAAAGCTGTCTGTTTACAATAGCTTATAGCCATCTGTTTTAATGTTTTTCCAGAGAGACACAAGACGTGGTGTTAGTATACATGTATGACAGGCCTATTGCTGATTTTAGGCCTATGGCTGCTTTAAGGCCTTCAGTGTATAAGCAGGGCTTCCCTTGACATCTCCTCCCTTCTCTAAGTATAGAAGGGCTGTGGCGATTCTAATCTTGCAAAGGTGGGGATAGAGGCCTGACCTCCAGTCATTGAAGGGGACTTTGTAATGGCTCTGGTCCCCCTGTCGTTGTCCAGTGAGGCATGAGGGCCATACCCGTCCCGATGTCTTTTTCCTGGAGAGGGGAAACTTTTGACATCAACCCCTATGCAGTCAGGCTTGTCCCTCAGGGAACCCAGAGAGATATTTTTATCTTTTATTTATATTCCATTGCAGTGCTTAGCCTCGCAGCCTAAGCAAGAATTCAGATTGCCTGACAGAGGGGGTTCTGGGTGGCCCCTCTCTGCTTGGCCTAGAGGCAGAAGTCCCCTCTTTTTGGTTGGGTGGAGATGGGTTTTGGGAGCACCCTAGATAGAGTAACAACCTCATCTTGAGTCTCGTGGTTCTCCATAGCTCACTTATGATAATGTATCTGAATAGGTTTTGCTACCAAGTTATTTATCTGTTGTTTCACAAAATTAGTCAGCCTATTTAAGGCCTAAGGACCAAAAGAAATAAGCAAAATAACCCAATAATGGTCCCAAGATGGGAGGAAGTAGGGTTGACAACCATGGAGAGGTTGAAAACCAATTCTTGTACCAGCTCTCATCTTTCTCTTTCTCTCTCTGTCTTTTCTCAGGGCCTTCTCTGACCTATTTCATGCTCTCTTTAACCATCTCTGTCTTGTCTATGTAAAGGCAACATTCTTCTTTAAGGGCTGTACACAGTCAAGAGCTGTACACAGTCTTTTCTACTGTAAAAGAGTAAATCAAGTCCAATAAAGTCCTTTGCAATTTGGGGGGGGGGAGGGAGAGGGTCTCTTCAGACAGCGAAACGAGGGATTTCTTCAGATTAGTGATGTCAATCTCCAGCTGTTTGATATTCTTGTCAATGGCCCATCAAAGGTCTGAGTAGTATAAGTTCGGAGGTCAGCATCTGGATTAGAACTTCTAACAGCAGATATCACAGGTGATTCATTTTTACCTGAGATACTGCCCGGGTTAGAGCTCCTGGGAGGTCCTCTTCCTCTGGGTTTTGTGAGGTTGGATACAGAGCTGCCACCTGGGATCTGCTCTGTGCTCGGGCCGCATGTGAAACTCTTAAATACTACTATGAGGTAAAACTGGTACACCTACTTGGGAAAATACAAGCCAGTAACTTGGAATACTAATATATCATTTTATACCATATAGTTCAAAACTAGGAGGGACTGATTTATAAGCCAAAAGTCAGAGACTAATTGTGGTAACTGGAAAGGGGATTTACAGTTCACTTAGCAGCCATGGAAGGCCACCCATTGTTTTAAGTTCCTACTGAGTAGAATGAACAGTGCAGCAAAAGCCTTAAAAGCCTTCAATGATAACAGAGAAAATGTGCAAGCAGTAGATATTAGTCAAGCTTAATGGTTCCAGAGATGCATTCCAGAGACGTATGAAAGTGCAATGGCATATGGATAGAATTGGGTACTTTTCCATACGTACACTCTACTTTAAATTTGTGGTGGGGGGTAGAATGTATCTCAGTGGTAGAGATCACATGTTAGGCTCTAAACTCCACACATACTCACATCTCACATATGCACACACATTGGTGGGGGGGGGGGAGATTTAATCAAACAAATGAATAAGTTTACAGAGGATGAGAGCAAAGTAAAATCACTTTCATATACTTAAAACATGTATTCATACCAACCAACAAATCTGTACAAAAAGAGTGTTAAACATATACTTCATAAAGAATCCCAGCTATTCCATATAGTAGTTAGTGTAAAGGTACAGAAGATAGACAAGAGAGGGAGGGAGACTACAGCATCCAGAATTCCAAGACAAACAAGCATCCATAGGGATCCAGAGATATTTTAAACAGCAAAGTAACTGGATCAGACTCATTCATATTATCTGCCTAAATTTTCTCCTCATAGAAGTGTATAAGATTCCTTTTATAATTCAAGGTTCTTTTGTTTTTAATCATGTGATGTGGGGTGTGTGTGTATGTGTATATATACAGGTAAGTACAAGTGGCTTCACAGAGTCCAGAAGAGGGTATCAGATCCCCTGGAATTAGAGTGACAGGCAGTTGTGAACCAACTGATATGAGTCCTGAGAATTAAACTAAGATCTTCTGGAAGAGTCAAAAAAAGGAGCAAATTATTTTAACTACTAAGTCATCTCTCCAGCCTTTAAGAATTCAATCATACTACAATCTGTCTTTTGAATTTCAATACCACTTTATATACAAGGTAGATTGCTTACAAACTGTGTCAAACAGACAGTTTATTTCAAATTAAACCAAAACTGAAATAATGAACCTGCTCATACACGTGTGTCCTCTAGATACCTAAACAGTAAAATAGTTGTCTGTGTGTCAGAGAGGTAGGAATTAAAAAAAAAAAAATAGTACTAGCCCTGGGGATACTGGTCAGTGCCCAGGAACCTGCTTAACTTGTGTAAGCCCTCAGCTGGATCCCACATGAATATTGAGGAAGGAGGAAGAAGCAGAAGCAAAAGAAAAAACTCATGGAAGGTATATAACACAGGCGTGATAGTAAACAGTTCATATCAGCTTATCTGCTATTTTAGCTCTGTGGAGAAATTATAGAATGATGAGATAGTTATATTTATTAAATATGAACAAGCATTTAAATGCTTATCAATGAAAACTACAATATTTGCTTTAGTTCAATACCCGGGAGGTTTCCATTGTAGTCCACGTCTTCTATGCCACAACCCCATCTGACAAGAAGCTGCAAGCAGCCAAGCCGCCCATGAAAAGCTGCATAATGTACAGGTTTCCATTCTCTCTTGTCAGTCACGCTGGGATCCTACAGGTAAAATTCACTCAGTTTCAAAATGGACGCAGTTTCTTGCCATTTGTAAGAAAAATGGTAAATCTAGACAGTTCTGCAATTGAAAACTAGAAGCTTAAATTTATAGCAATCTTAAAACTATACAGCAAATATCTAATAGTAAAAAAAAATTGCAGCACCCACTGATCTGAACACATGAACAATGAAGTTTTAAAACAATCTTTTAAAAAGAACTACTTCAGGGTGTGTTGGTGCGTGCCTTTAATCCCAGCATGAAGGAGCCAGAAGCAGAGGCAGGTGAGGTCAAGGACAGCCTGGTCTACAAAGAGTTCCAGGACAGCCAGGGCTACACAGAGAAACTGCATCTCAAAAACCCAAACCAAAAACTCAAAGAAAAAAAATCACATGATCATCTCACTAAATGCCTTTGACAAAATACAGCACCCCTTCATGTTCAAAGTCTTGGAAACATCAGGAATTCAAAGCACATACCTAAACATAATAAAAGCAATATATACAGCAAACCAACAACCAACTTCAAATTAAACAGAGAGAAACTTGAAACAATCCCACTAAAATCAGGGACTAGACAAGACTGCCCACTCTCTCCCTATATATTCAATATAGTACTCAAAGTTCTAGCTAGAGAAATAAGACAACAAAAGGAGAATAAGGGGATACAAACTGGAAATGAAGAAGTCAAGGTATCACTTTTTGCAGATATAATGGTATATATAAGTGACCCCAAAAATTCTACCAGAATACTCCTACACCTGATAAACAACTTTAGCAAAGTGGCTGGATATAAAATTAACTCAAACAAATCAGTACCCTTCTTCTATACAAAGAATAAAAGAGAAACATCCTTCACAATAGTCACAAATAATATATCTTGGTGTAACTCTAAACAAGCAAGTGAAAGATCTGTATGACAAGAATTTCAAGTCTCTGAAGAAACAAATGAAGAAGACCTCAGAAGATGTTAAGATTTCCCATGGATCAGTAGAATTAACATAGTAAAGATGGCTATCTTACTAAAAGCAATCTACAGATTCAATGCAAACCACATCAAAATTCCAACTCAATTCTTCACAGAGATAGAAAGAGCAGTTCTCAACTTCATCTGGAATAACAAAAAACCCAGGATGGCGAAAACTATTCTCAACAATAAAAGAACTTCTAGGGGAAATCACCATCCCTGACCTAAAACTGTACTACAGAGCAATAGTGATTAAAAACCACATGGTATTGGTACAGAGACAGACAGGTAGATCAATGGAACAGAATTGAAGACCCAGAAATAAACTCACACTACGGTCACTTGATCTTTGACAAAGGCGCTAAAACCATCTAGTGGGGAAAAAAAGACAGCATTTTCAACAAATTGTGCTAGTCTAACTGGCTGTCCGCATGTAGAAGAATGCAAATTGATGCACTCTTATCTCCCTGTACAAAGCTCAAGTCCAAGTGGATCAAGGACCTCCACATAAAACCAGACACACAGAAACTTATAGAAGAGAAGGTGGGGAAGACCCTCGAATACCTAGGCACAGGGAAAAAGTTCCTGAACAGAACACCAATGGCTTAAGATCTAAGATCAAGTATTGACAAATGGGACCTCATAAAATTCCAAAGCTTCTGTAAGGCAAAGGACACTGTCAATAGGACAAAATGGCAACCTACAGATTCAGGAAAGATCTTTACCTACACTACATCCAATAAAAGGCTAATATCCAAAGAACTCAAGAAGTTAGATTCCAGAAAACCAAATAATCCAATTAAAATATGGGGTACAGAGCTAAACAAAGAATTCTCAGGAATCTTGAATGGCCGAGAAGCACCTAAAGAAATGTTCAGTATCCTTAGTCATCAGGGAAATGCAAATCAAAACAACCCTGAGATTCCACCTCACACCAGTCAGAATGGCTAAGATCAAAACCTCAGGTGATAGTAGATGCTAGTGAGGATATGGAGAAAGAGGAACACTCCTCCATTGTTGGTGGGATTGAAAGCTGGTACAACCACTCTGGAAATCAGACTGGTGGTTTCTCAGTAAATTGGATGTAGCATTACCTGAGGACCCAGCTATACCACTCCTGGGCATATACCCAGAAGATGCTCCAACATATAACAAGGACACATGTTCCACTATGCTCAAAGCAGCCTTATTTATAATAGCCAGAAGCTGGAAAGAACCCAGATGTCCTTCAACAGAGGAATGGATACAGAAAATGTGGTACATTTATACAATGGAGTATTACTCAGCTATTAAAAATGACATTATTATGAATTTTGTAGGCAAATGAATGGATCTAAAAAATATCATGAGTGAAGTAACCCAGACACAAAAGCACATACATGGTGTGCACTCACTGATAAATTGGATATTAGCCCAAAAGCTCAGAATACCCATAATTCAACTCACAGACCATATGAAGCTTAACAAGAAGGAAGGACAAAATGTGGATGCTTCAAACCCACTTAGAAAGGAGAACAAAATAAACATGGTAGGCAGAGGGAGGAGGGGCCTGGGTGGGAGAGGAGAGAAGAAACAAAGAAGAGGGGGCAGGACCAGGTATGGGAAGAGACAGGAGAGAAGTACAGAGGACTAGGAGAATGAATAGAAATAAGTAGCAGTAGGGGGAAGGGGGGGGCTTGGGGAACTACTAGAAAGGCCCAGACACAAGGGATACAAGAGATTCCCAGGACCCAAAGGGGATGACATTAGCTAAAATACCCAACAGTGGGGAGATAGAACCTAGAGACCACCTCTAGTAGATAGACATGGCCCCTAGTGGAGGGATGGGGACACCCACTCATCTAAAAAATTATAATCCAGAATTGTCCCTGTCTCAAGGAAATGCAGGGACAAAAATGGAGCAGAGCTAAAGGGAAGGCCATCCAGAGACCACCCCACCGTGTGTCCATTCCATGTGCAGACACCAAATCCTGACACTATTGCTGATGATGTCAAGATGTGCTTGCAGACAGAAACCTGGTATGGCTGTCTTCTGAGAGGCTCTGCTAGCACCTGACTAAAACAGATACTGATACTTACAGCCAACCATTGAACTGACCCTGGGGACCCCAATGGAAGAGTTAGGGGGGGGAGCTGAAGGAGCTGAAGTGGATTGCAACCCCATAAGAAGAAGAACTGTATCAACTAACTGGAACCCCCCAGAAGTCCCAGAAACTAAACCATCAACCAAACAGTATACGTGGACTAGTCCATGGCTCCCACTACATAAGTAGCAGGGGACTGCCTTATCTAGCATCAGTGGGACGGAAGGTGCTTGCTTGGTCCTGTGGAGGCTTGATGGCCCAGAGAAGGGAGATGCTAGAGGGGTGAGGCGGGAATGGGTGGGTGGGTGGGGAAGCACCCTCATAGAAGCAAAGGGGAGGGGGCTGGGGGAGGTTCATGGAGAGGAGACAGGGAAGGGAGATAACATTTAAAATGTAAACAAAATGATTAATAAATTAAAAAATAAATAAACATTAAAATAAACAAGGTAACTCCCGGAGTAATAAATCACTTCCTAAACTGGTATATGAAATAGTTTTTAAAGCATTATGCAGATAGGTACACATGAATTCATAAAGATATAATTACCTTGTGAATATTTGTTTAAAAGCTTCAGAGTCTTCTGAGTTAAGCTCTGAACCAGCAGCCAAACACAGAACCTCTGAAATATTTTCTATACTATTCATGGTGGGGAGAGGCAGAGGGAGATTTGTCTCCATTGCTACATCCATGTTTAAAGTGAGAGGGTTAAAGGAAAAAATGACTTCCCCAAAGTCATAAGAAGGACTCTGAAAGTCAGGAAGAGATAATCAGAGTACCAAATGCTAGTTCATCTGCATGATCACACACTACGACTAATTAAGAGGGCTTCCTCACCACTCCACTTCGCAGCATGATTTGTAAAGAAAAAGAGTGTCCATGGGTGGCAGCAAGGTGTAGTGGGGTGCATCCACGGTCATCTTGAGTTGTTAGGTTGGCTCCATTGATTATAAGAGCCTAGAAACAGAAATGGGGAAAGTGTGCATGAATACAGATGGTAAACTATGAATGCAGATACAGAGTAAATATAAGCAATTAATTTATAACAAGATTACTATACATGACCTACAGGCAAACTGTGATACATTCCTTAGGTAGTCCTATAAAGGGTTTTCAAATCTTCTGCAACACTGACTGCAGAACCTTAATTGGCTAACTGAGTTCCAAGTCAGTGTTCTAAGATGGTTTCATCCAAATGTGTAACTAAGCCAATTTCCATACTAAGCCATTTTCATGTATTGTTCAGGTCATGAACAATACAAAAGCTGGTAAGGATGAGGAACCATGGGTTAGATACTTTGGAAGATGAAGGGCAAGCTTCTTATAAAGTAAAACACAATCTTACCATAATGTAACAATCGTACACTCCTTAGCATTAGGTAAATATCTATTAAAATTGAAAACACGTCCAATGAGAATTTAAAATGAATATTTATAAGCTTTAGTCATATTGTCAGGACTATAAACAAAGATACCATAAGTGCATAATGGGAACAAACATTCAGACAAGGAAACATTGAGCACTAAAAGAAGTTAGTGATAATTAGGTATGTTGATGCCTATAATCCTAGAACTTGGGATCCTGAGGCAGGAGGCTCACAAGCTGAAGCCCAGCTTGTGCTATACAGCAAGAGATTATCAGTAAAATAAAGAAATAAGCCAAGCACTGTATCATTTTAATTTGTTCAAATGCACAGTACATACAATACCACGAGTGAACACCAGTGTAAACTCTGACGTCAGGTAAGTGTGCTTGCCCCTCCAGAGATTCACTGGTTGGGAAATCAATCTAGCAATTCAAAAATCTATGTATCTTCTGACCAGTTTTGCTGAACCTATAACAGCTCTAAAAATTAAAATCTATTTTAACAAATGATCTTTTAGGACATATTTTTCATTTAGCATTGAAGATGGGAACAAGAGCCTTACCATACTACCCCTGCGCTGGATCACACAGCTACTCCACAACTCCTTCCAGTCAGTTCTGTTCTTCTCACTCAGAATTTCCTCTTTAAAACAGCCTTCATTTATCAGTACCTTAGCAAAGGATCTTCATGACTGTGTCTGATCTAACCAGCCAATAACAGTCAAAAATAATATACTAAGTACTTACTGTGTTTTAAGAGTCATAAAGTAATAATAACTAGTGAATAATAATAATAATAATAAACAACTTACGAATCTACGGAATCAGGACATTTGTAGGAATAGATAATCAACTCCACAAAGAAGACAGTGATAAGAAGCAAGCACACAGCGCAGTACCAAAATAAGCAATATAAAAATTCTAAGAGGGAAGAGATGACTGTGGGGCAGAAAATGAAAATCAAGGCACAGGGAGTGACTTTAGTTAATGCCTGTTGGGGAGAATAATGGCAATAGCATAATGGCAATGTGTATAAAGTAAAGCTTCACTTGACTCAGTTTCCCCTAGAGTTACTATTGCATTTTCTCTTTGCCCTTGTTGCCTACCTTCTAAGTTAATGCCTATCACTTTGAGAGCTAAGATGTGAAAACACTTACATTGGCACAACACAAACATTTGCACCACAATAGCAAGCTACAAAGAAGATACTCTGAACATGACTGTGACATCACTCAAAACAACCCAATTACTTCAGAGATTAAACAATCTCCAGTTACATATCATTTATGTGGATAGCTGGCATCAGTCAATCCTTTACAACATAGAAATGGATCAAGAGTTGGATCAAATAGAATAATGGCAATGTCCCAACAGAGCTATGGTGACATAACTAAACTCACTGAATTTAAAAAAAAAAAAAAAGTAACAGAAATCCTTACCTGCAGGCAGGCGTCCTGACCCCGGATCGCAGCTATGTGAGCTGCTGTCCATCCCCTTGTAGTTGTCTGTGTGGCATCAGCACCATTCCAGAGGAGCCAGTGAAGGCACTAAGAGAATAATAAACCAGATGCTTTTAGTATTTTTGTAATTTTAAATGTAGTCTATTATGAGATTCCCATTGTAGCACGAGAAACAACAGACCAGTGTAAGCCCAGTGTAAGAAAATCAAATGCACAAACACAGTGGCATAGCAAGCAACATTTGGCTTCACTGTTGGGTAAGTAAGAAAAAGTAATGGGAACTATAGCAAACTATAAGCCACATTCCTTCTCTATCAGGTACACTTGATACTAAATTCCTGGCATTTCTTGCTATGAATCAAATAAATGCTAGTCCAATAAACATACCACTTAGCTAAGTGTTCATGTCAAACAAAACCAATCTGTGGGCCAAGTTCCCCCAAGACCTGCCAATTCGAAGTTACTATTACCTTTTTACTTTTTCTTTTCTAGAGCTAAAAAGAGAGCTCAGCAGTTAAGAGGACTTGCTGCTCTTCCTGGAGACAGGAGTCCAGTTCCCAGCACCAATGTCAAGTCACTCACAACCACCTCTAACTCTAGCTCCAGGGGAATCCAACATCCTCTCTGGCCTGGGTCAGAACATGCATGCATATGCACTTGTGCACGCACACACACACATGTGCATGCATACTAACAGAACTAATTAAAAATATAATAATCTTTTTCTTTTTTTTTAAGAGTTTCAGTCTTGTAATGCTGTCTAAGACAGCTTTGAATCCTGGATTGAAATGATTCCCTGCCTCATCCTTTTTGAGTAGCTGGGAGTGCATAGCTCCTACTTAAATGCCGAACTTCTACTACAAATCTTCAAATGAATCCAGAAACTTCTGTATCAAAATGTATACTGTTACTGTGATAGTATCCCTAAAATGTATATAACAGGAATTTTTTAAAAGGAGAAACAGCCAGTGACTAAAATGTAAGAGATTTTAAACTAACCCAAGTCTCATGGGACTGCTGCACCTGGACGATCTGTGCTGCAGAATGTGTTACTATCTTTCAATGTGGAATTTTGCAGGTTCTAAGAAGGATCTTTCTTTTTAAAAGAACTGACTATCTGACTCATTTTTACATCCTGCATAACCTGTAATTTGTTAAAAGACTTTTTGTTGTTGTTGTTTTTCGAGACAAGGTTTCTCTGTGTAGCCCTGGCTGTCCTGGAACTCACTCTCTAGACCAGGCTGGCCTCGAACTCAGAAATCCGCCTGGCTCTGCCTCCCAAGTGCTGGGGTTAAAGGCGTACGCCACCACCGCCTGGCAAGATTTTACCATTTAGACATCACTTGTCTGACACCAAAATTAATGATCAACAAAAAGTTTTCTTAGATTTAAATGTTTAAGTAAGCATGGATGCTGTGGGCACTACTCTCTTTTTTCTAGTTCTTTTTATTGTATTTATTCATTATTTTGTCTTCTCAGTTCACACACATCATATGGAAGTAAAAGGACAACTTGTGAGAGCTAGCTGTTTCCTTCCATCATGTAGGTTCCAGGGACTGAACTTAAATGGCCAGATTTGGCAACAGGCACTTTTACTTGTTGATCCCCATTTTTTTTTTTTAAAGAGCTCAACCTCACTAACCATCACGAGTCACTCACTTATTCAACAAACACTTGTGGAGACACTACTATGTATTAGAATTGTCTAGCTCATGGAAATTAAAACCATGACAAACATTCCTGTGCTGCTTTAGCTTTTCTCTTGAATAACTATGTAACAAAGCTGCTATTACATAGAAATAATGTACATTTTACATTATAACAGAGTACTCAAATGTCTGCTAGAGTATCTATTTTAATTTACCTTCTACCAGCAATGCATGAGAGTCTCAGGTTCTCCACATTCTTGGCCATGATATTGTCACTTTAGGGACTGTTTTATTCTTGTTTTCACTATTCTTATGCATATGTAGCTGTAAGGACTCACGAAGAGGACCCCCAACTCAAGTCCCAATCAGCAAGCACCCAAGGAGACACGAGAGATTGACTTGATGCAAATGGCAAAAGGCAGTTTACTAACAAGGGCCCTCGGATCGAAACTCATCCCACGCAGGGGAGAGAATTTTGATGAAGACCCCAGGAGGTTTAGAACTTTTATAGGGGGAGGCACAAGGGGGAAGGGAAAAGTGGGAAATTCTGGTGTGGTTACATATAATTGGATATTTCAAACATCAGCACTTTGCATAAGCAATCATTTTGACAGGCTGGATAGCCCACTATTTTTGACCATGAAACATCAGACCTTCTAGGATAAACACCAGGTGGCCCATTACTCACTTGGGCATGTTTAGACTGGTCAAGATACATCTTTGGTTGTTTCTACATTTTTGGTCACTTTGTCCCTAGAAGGGCTTGATATTTTTATTATGGCTATTCTCAGCAAGCTCAGCAAGCCGTCCAGCGGTCCTTGGCAAGTTGTTTTTAATTTTTACTCTTACATAACTTCTCATTGTGATCTTAATTTCCTCTAACAGCTAATGATGTTGAATTCACAAGGCTCAATTGCCATCAGTCAACAACACATACCGGGAAAACATTAACATTTGCCTGTTTGTGCTTTTTTTTTACTGTTCAGTTTTAAGTGTTCCTTATTTAAACTGGTTGTGATTTTCAGTCAACTATCTGATTTACAAAGATTCTATCCTATTTTTAATATAAGTCTTACAAGTTTTATATTTAGTTATGATATATTTTGGATAAATTCTATATGGAACCTAGTATGGGTTAAGATTGACATTCATTTCACATGAATGTCCAACTGGGACAACTAATAAAAATGTTATTTTCTCTCCATTAAATCATATTTGCCTTTGTCAAAAAAATCATTCAATCAATCAATAGATAAATAAATAAGTAATGGCTCAGCAGTTAGGAGCATTGGCTGCTCTTCCAGAGGATCTGGCATTAGATTCTCAGCAGCCACACAATAGCTCACAACTATCTGTAACTACAGTCCCAGAGGATTTGAGACCTTCTTCTGGCCTCTGAAAGCACTAGGAACATACATGATGCACAGGCATAATGCAAGCAAAACATCTATTTACATGTAAAATATTTTAAATTAATTTTTAAAATGTAAATTAAATAGTAGGTGCCTAGCATGTACCTAAGGTCACAGCTGATTAGGAGCCTGAAGCAAAAAGGATTTTTTCAGTTGGGTGGTTTGAGAGTATAGTGAACAAACATACTGAGACCAACCACATTAAAAAAAAAAAAAAAGTAGAAAATTTAACAGGGCTTCAGAAGCTGTTGAAGGATGAACTGGGCAAGACCTTCACATAATCAATAATAAAATTAACAATGCTGTAAAATTGACCTTTTTAAGACTTGAAACTGATCAAAGGCATATAATAAGATGTAAAGTGTATATTTAAGAAAATCTACTGTAGCCGGGCAGTGGTGGCGCACACCTTTAATCCCAGCACTTGAAGAGTGAATTCTAGGACAGCCAGAGCCACACAGAGAAACCCTGTCTCGAAAAAAACAAAAAACAAAAAACAAAAAAAACAAAAAAAAAAAGAAAATCTACTTAATCTTATCTGGGTATGTAGCTCAGTTGGTAAAGTTTCCTAGCATACTCAACATCCTGAGTTAGATCCCTAGCGCTGTGTTCTGGGTGCACAACTATAATCCTAGCATTTAGCAAGTGGAGGCAGGAAGATTACAGCTTAAAGATCTTCTGCTACACAGGAATTCAAGGTCAGCCTGTGGTATAATACAAACTATCTCTCTCTCTTTTTTTAAGTAAATAAATTATTTAAAGGAGATGCTGGTGAGATGGCTCAACAGTTAAGATCAGTGGCTGCTCTTCCAGAGGACCTGAGTTCATGTCTCTGCTCCAATGCCAGGTGGCTCACAACTCCTCTTCTGATCTCCTCAGGCACCTTCACACATGCACATTATCACACACACAGACATACAAACACATAAATAAGAGCAATTGTTTTTATAAGAAACAAAGAAAAGCTACTATATCTTAGTTAGAAAAGGGTAGAGCTTCCTTTTTAGCCTGGGACTATAGCTATCCATACCCTTAGCTTCTCAGAACAGTTCTACTTGGTTATATAGTATAATTTTCCTACCAAAAGGACAATTTTTAAAAGTGAACCAAAAACAACAACACTAGGCCCAGGTTTACCGAAGAGAAAAACTCCAGCCTCAGTAGCCCACAGCCTGGGAACGCCAACATCAGAAAGAGTCTGAAATCATGACTTTAATCCCACCACTTAGGAGGCAGAGGAGGGCATATCTCTGAGTCTGAGGCCAGCTTGATCTACAAAGGGAGTTCCAGGCAAGCCAGGGCTACATAGTGAGACCTTGTCTAAAATATAAGTAAATAAAATAATTTTTTAAACTTTAAAGATTAAGTGAAGGTAACCAATGAGGCTGAATGGGTACCAGGAAAGAGAATAAATCTTCAATGTATCCTCTTTGAATATGGCAGAATAAAGTCAGGTTTTTTTTGGGGGGGGGTGTTGTGGAGTTTTGTTGTTGTTTGTTTTGTTGTTGTTGTTTTGTTTAGTTTTGTTGCTTCTTCCTAAAATCAGTCAAAAAGTAGAAAGAAGAAAAAAAGGAATAAAGGAAGAGAGATAAAATTCCACTTTTGATGAACTAGGGATAACTCTAACACAAAACATGAAAAATTTGTCAGAATGCAGATTTTTGATACAGAAGGAAACAGAGACCACCACCCACCTACACTTATAAGCTTACAGAGAATAACAAGGTACATTTCTCCCTCACAAGATTTAGCCACTGACACATCAAAGTAAAAATTCCTGGCCACTTCAACTGAGGCCCACATTGACACTGGGAGATTATCTGATCCAGATCTGTTTTCGTGAAGCAAAGTAGATAAAAGCAAACAACAAACTGTACAAACAGTAACGTTCACAGAAAAAAGTATGTGTAGATTTGTTAGGAATAGATAAGACAGTTTTGTGACTAAACATACTATAATCTATAGGCAAATGAAAGATAATAGCTAATGTAAGTATACAGCTTTGAAACATACGAAATTCCAGCTGCCCTTTATCCCCAAGAATAAGATCTGTATAAAATATTCACTAAGCACTGTTTGTACAAACTAAAAATTGAAACCAACCAAGTATTATGGAAAAGTGAATAAATTCTATTACTCTAAGAATAAACTAAGAATAAGCCTGAAACAATGTAACAATGTATACAATGTATATATATATATATATATATATATATATATATATATATATATATATATAAAACCACATGGCTTAAACGCAAAAGCATATTATTGAAGAAATGAAACATGGAAAATGAAACACATAGAATGTGCTATCTGTATAATATCAGTCAAAAGAATTATGTAACAACATGCAATACCTGCTTAAAATATAAGTGAGTCTAATAAATATTAGCCTCTCTGCTTGTCTTTAGAATCTAATCACCGTCTTGTAAAGAAGCACAAACTAACCCACAGTAGAGAAAACTTACCAAAACATCTACTTGGAAATAAAGTACTCAAGTCTATATCCAGCCTCAACCACCAGATATCTGAGTAAATGAGGCTTCAGGAGAGTCTGGCCTCAGCACACTTTTTTTGTTCAGTACTGGAGAGTGAATTTAGGTTCTCATAGTACACCAGGCAGGTGCTCTACCACTGAGCTATAACCCCAGCTGTCATCTTTGAATCTTCTAACCAGAACCCCAGACACTAAGGAGCAAAGACAAGCTGTCCTGCAATTCAATTTCTTAGCTCACTCATAAGCACTGAAAGTGGTCACTTTACAACACTAAGCTTTGGGATAATTTGCTAGAGAGCCCTACTAAAGAACACTCAAATAACAGATTAAACAGAAAAGATTATTTTGAGTGTCAAGCATGAAATCTTACCCCTGTACACTAAATTTATAAAAGTATAATCGTCAACTTATTTAGTTTAATAGTAGTTAAAGATTCTTACCTCTAAACTTCCAGAATGTGCTGCCCAATGTAAAGGAGTAAACTGATGGAGAACATCCACTTCATTAATGTTGGCTCCATGGTCCACGATGTCTGAAAGCTGCTTGACATCTCCAGCCCGTACCGCATCATGTATGCTACTAAAATGCACCTTCTTCCTGGAACCTATTGAAAAGTCAAATTTCTTCAACTATATTACAGAACTGTAAAAAAAAATGACTACAGCAATGAACCAGACAAAGCACATCACTTTATCTTTCTGAATAAGTTACTACAAAATTTAGAGTAGTTTAAAAACAAAGAACAAACCACACAAACATCCTTGTTAAGAGATAAAAGTTTATGTGTATATATGTTGAAGATAGATAAAAACAGTTTTGTGACTAGGGAAAGACAATAACTAATATAAGCATACAACACTGAAACTTGAGAAATTACAGTTGTCCTGATATATAGTTCCATGAATAAAATTTGTATAAAATATTCATTAAGCATTGTTTCTATAAACTAAATACTGAAACAAACTAAGTATATCTTAATCATACTTTATGTTCTATTCCTGAGATACACAGGATGAACATTGTCCCACTATTCCTCCTACAAGAGAACTGAATATATCAAATATTAACAATTGCCAGCCACAGTGATACATGCCTTTCATCCCAACATTTGGAAGATAGAGGCAGGTAGATCACTATAAGCTTGAGGCCACTGTGGTCTATGTAGTGAGTTCTAAACCAGCCAAGGCTACATAGTAAGACCCGATCTCCAAAAAGAAAAAGAGAGAGAGAGAGAGAGAGAGAGAGAGAGAGAGACAGAGACAGAGACAGAGAGAGAGAGAGAGTAAAAGAGGGATGGCTCAGTGGTTAAGAGCACTGGCTGTTCTTCCAGAGGACCAAGGTTCAGTTCCCAGCACCCACATGGTGGTTCACAGCCATGGGTAATTCCAGTTCCAGGGGATCATGGACCAGGTATGCATGTGGTTCATGTACATAAATGCAGGGGAAACACTCATACACATAAAATGAAATAAGAAAATGTAAAGAGATAAAGAAGAAGAAAAGGGAGGAAGAGGAGGATGATGAGGAAGAGAAAGAGAAGGATGGTGAGGAGGAGGAAGAAGAAAAGGAAGAGGAAGAAGAAGAGGGTGGAGGAGGAAGAAGAAGTAGAGGAGGAAGAGGAAGAAGAAGAGGAGGAAGGGGAAAAAGACAATAACTTTTCCTGGTCCTACCAGACATCTAAAGTCTCAGGTCAAACTGACATCCTAAATCCAAAGAGATATGTAAATACAGAGAAATATAGTTGAGTTCAGTTTACAAATACTGCTGAAAGTCAGAAACTGCTAGAAGCTAGACGTGATCATCTGAATGACTTGCCCAGGCTGTGTCATAGTTAGGGCCCCTATTACTGTGATGAAACACCATAAGCAAAAGCAGCTTGGGGAGGAAACAGTCTATTTCAACTTACCTGTCCCAATCACAATCCAACATAAAGAGAAGTCCCTCTTAGACAAAAAGGAAGCCAAGATACAAAGAATTGGTATCCAAACAGGGACACAACAGAAGCAAAGATGAGTTAGGGAAGAGTAAGTGCATTGTCCTGGCTATGGGTACCATGGCATGCAACTAAGGTTAAGAAGTCTGAAGGGTGAGCATCTGAGGGAGGGAATTCCAACAGAGTTGTCCTTTCCTGTATGGTATATGTTAGTATGCTTTTGTGCTGTCACAGCAGTTACATGGTTCTTGCTATGGTACTGAGACATGCAACTAAGGCTGAGCCATCAGGATTACCAGTGTCTGTGGGAGGAATCTCAGGACTTTGTCCTTTGTCTATGCAGTATGGGTTGCCAAGCCTGCTTGATGGGCGACATGGAAATGCTCTAAAAACAGTTAAAAGTTTACAGGAAATTTTGCAAGTCTTTGAGATTAAAACACAAGGGTCAAGATTGTCAGCAAGCACAGCAGAGGTTGCCTGGGATCTGCTGTGTGTAGTTAGAAATGCATCTTGGGTGTCAGCCAAGTAGGAACGTGTTTCTGTAAAGGAGCAATTCCAACAAGAAAGGGCTATGTGCCTAGCATACTCCATGCTAGTCTCTGATTTGGCAAGTAAAATAAATAAACAAGAGAATGAGGTGGAGGTGTTGGCTTGATGCTTCTTAAGGGTTAGGGCTCAAAATCTTATGAAAAAAGAAGGAAAGAGAGTACAAGTTGGATCCACACTCAAAAAAAGCCCTTCTTGGGATTCATGAACTTGGAACCATGGGAAGATTCAAAGAGTAGGGAAAAGACGGTAAAAGCAATAGAAGATACCACAGGTCAGCAGCTCAGCATGTTTTAAGACTATTCTTTGCAGCTCAGCTTCTTTTTATCCGAGACTGACTCTCAAATTTTATTGTTTACTCTGGCAGGGAGGGGCCAGGTGGATCTGATCACTTTCAAGAACTTAAACCTATTTTAAGTGGTTTACCTTCCTGTTTAAGGAGTTTCCTGCAGAATAGACTCCTTTAATCTGGGACAGAACTGTTATACAACACTTCACCTGTTTCTCCAGCTCTTACATTCCTTCCTTTCCCTCTTTCCCAATGCTGAGCTGAAAAAAAAATCTCTGAGTGAAAAAGCTGCAAAGCGTCTCTGAGAGCAGCTGCGTGGAAGAGGTTTAGACTGAGTCACCTAGAAAAGGCAGTTTCCAACCTGTTGAGCTGCCCGCCAGCTTGCTGTTCAGTGTGCTCCTGGTCTCCCAGCTTTTCTGAGCTGTCACCCATGCTGGAGGAAGTTTTGGTGATGCAGCTGTCTATGAGTCATCTGTGCTCCTGTAAATAACCCCTTACCCATATTCCACCAAGTGACCTCAATAAAACTCACTGGTATGCCAAGTTGGATTGTGTTACCCAGTTGGGATGCTTATCTGGGGTGAGTAGGATCCCTATCTGAGTCTCTCCAGGAAACGTTTTGTCACACAACACCCTCAGAAAAAGGAGGAAAAAGAAAGAGAAAGATGAAGAAACAGAGTAAGCCAGTAAAGGGAGCTCTGAAAGAATGAAAACTAAAAATTTAGCTGGCTCTAATTTGTCATCTCCACAGTATCAAATGCCAAAGAAAAGAATTTACAAAGGTCCATAATATTTAACAAATGATGTCTGATCTGAGTAAAATGTCTGATAGACAAATGATGTACAAGAGGGAAAGCTCAAATAATGGAACACGGGGACGGGTGAGAAGCTTTTGGAATCAGTGGGAATAAAGGGGAAAAGAGGCATGGCAATAAAACGAAAAGGCCAGCAGGACCTCAGGCGGATGCCCTTTAAGTAAGAAAAGTGTTGAGCCTAAACAAGGGATGAGCAAAAGACCATGACTCACTTGAGTCTGCAGTCTCCCTACAGGACTTGGAGGGGCCTGGATTAGCCACACCAGGCATGGTGTGGTCCTTCGCCCTCGGACTTGGACTCTGGGGAGGAGTGGAGCCCAGGTCTCTGCTGCTGAGCTGGTCTTCACTTGCTCCCACGCATGGACCACTGCTGCAAGAACTGGACTCCTCGTCGCTTGCGCGGGGCCCACGATCCTTCCTTCTCTCCCAAGAGCCCCTAAAGCGGGAATCTTCTTCGCTTTCTCTCTCCCAGAAGCTATGGAGGAGGCGGCTGGAATCTTTGCTGATGCTCACCCTAGAGGAGTCTCTGGCCTCGTAGCGCCTGTCATCATTTACTCCTTCCCAAGAACTACTGAGGCAGTGACTGCCATCGACACTTGCTCCTTCCCAAGAACAGCTGCGGTAGTCGCTGCCTTGGTCCACGGAGTCAATGGTTCCGGGCCCTCGGGTTTCAGGAACGTCCACCCAGGCGTCTTCTCTGACGGCTGCCCTCGAGTCGCAGGGATGCGAGCCAGTGACTTCACCTAGGTTCGCGTCGCTACTGCGTTGGCCGCTACCGCCTCTCACAGCCACCCATGAACTGCTCTGCCGGTGGCCATCCTGTTCCCTAATTCTCTCCTGAGAGACGCAGCGGTGCCGCCCTGGATCTTCACTGGGTTTTCTCGAGTCCCTTCGGGAAAAGCCGCCGTCCTCACCTACTCTTGCCAAAGAGAGCCTGGTGAGGCGGTCCCCTCCTTCTAGGTTTCTTTCTCTGGGGCTGTGGCAACAGAATGCCTGCTCTTCCACGATCTTCTCCCTAGACCCGGAGACAAGGTAGCCGTGCGGGCCGCGGATAGCACATGCGCGGCGGCTGGCGCGGAGGCCGCAGTCTCCGGTCTCCTGAGCCCGCAGGTGGTTGTGACGGCAACCGCCGTCGGCGGGAACGCTTTCCTCAGAGTCGTTTTCCAGTGTCTCAGTTCACACACCCTGGTGGGCGCGGCGGCGTGGCCGTCACCTTGGAAACAAATACTTCCGGCGTGCGGTCACTTCCGTATCCTTTATGCATACGTCACTTCCTGCTTCCTTCCTTTCACCTTTTTCGGGGCTTCGTCTGTGGAAAGCTACGCGACTCTGGTACCGAGTAGTTTTCGGTGGGTTTTTATTTTTCTTTTTTGTTTTGTTTTGTTTGCTCAGTCTCACAAGAGCCTGCCGAGGCTTGTTTCTGGAACCCCATTTCATGGGCATAGCCCCCAAATAGAGGTCCCAGTACTGTGGTTCGCGGAGCCTACCTGTGTGCCGCGCCTCAGGGGCCTTTTCGTCCTTGGCAAGCCTGGTATACTGTTTGAATGCTGGTTTGAAAGAAAATCTATTTTGACCCCATGGCTTCCCAAACATTGAAAAATCCCTATAGGGGCCGGTAGCAAGTGCAGTCCCTGTCTTTGTTTAGTGTGTGCTTAATGTCGGGCTCTTGGATGTTCGCTTGACAGGTATCATCCTCAGCTTACAGGTTGACACTCAAGATACCACTAGTTTACTAAGACAAAATAGCCGGTAAGTTCTAAAAACAGCAGAGGTTAGCCAAAAGACACTCCAGTAACTCCTACTTTAAATGCAACATTTCTTTCACTGTAACATTGCTAACTGAACTAAACCTTTCTCTCCGACTTTGCTCAAAATGTATTCTTCTGCTTTATTTCTGCGAATGTAAGTATCGAGTTTTGTGCTAACCGCTGAGAATACAAAAACTGGTAAGCATCGTCCCTATTTCTCGTACTTCTCAGGTGGGTCTTTTTGTTGTTTTGCATGCTTGCATTGCCACCACGCTTTCTCAGGTCAAGAGTAATTGAATTGGGGGAAGCAATCTTTTTAATTTCTCTACCTTTAAATACGTAGTTTGCCCTCAACAAACTACTCTGTCTTCTCCATTTATGTTCTCTGAACAGATTTGGAAAATTCCTAGCAATATATACCTTCTCTCGAGGTAAATTGATCTTTTTTAACGTAGCCTTTTAAGTAGTAACTGATCCTTGTATTCAGTGCTTTGTATGAGTTTTCTTATCACTGAAACTTTGTTGACAGTATGTTTTTCATTCTATTTTAAGAAGCATCAAAGTTGATTAATTGGGGATACATAATAAGTAGTAACTGCTTGCATGACAATTCCTACTACATCTTTTTTTCTTTTTGCATATTCCTCTCAAAACCTGATTTCTCACAGCTTTTATTGGATCACATCACACGTTGTCGTCATCTTGGTTTTCACCCCCTCATAAGGAGTTGAAACTTCTGGACAGTAAGCATTCTGTCTTTGGCATTGGTTCCCGAAATCTAGAATATTTACTTCATGGAAGGGCTGCTCAGTAGCTCTTCTGTTGTGGAGTTTGTAGATTGATCTGATCATCAGATTAGTGAACTGACACTGAAGACAGTGGGGTTTTTTGTTTGGTTGGTTTTTTTGTTTTTTGTTTTTTTCTGCTTGAAGTGGGTATGGGATTAGGTTTTTTGTTTTTTCAGAATTGGGGCAACTTAGACCTTTGTAGAACAGGTATTTACTGAATTACATATGTGAACCAGTGCCTATCATAACTGATTTGCAAGTAATTTCAAATTAATCTATATTGTGTTTATTTCTTACAGATGAAGAACAGTTCACATTTGATCAGGATGACATTAGTAGGAGTTGGGCATCTGGAACCTACTACATCTAACTCCAGATTAACACAGTGCATATAGCTACTTCAAATAGTAAAGGCTCTACTTCTGGGTTATGCTATATCAAATAGATAAGCTTACACAGTGGACACAACAAATATGAGAAAGAAAAGGAAAGAAAGCAGTATTAGATACAAGAGGAATGTGTTATATACAGGTCTTTAAAAACATCAAAATTAAATTATTTTACATAGTCCACACTAATTTGGAAAATTGGCTTGAATAATCTAGGAAAATACAGATACCTAAGAACTGATTCAAGAACTACAAAATCATAAAAGAATATCCCAGAGAAATCCATCCTTGAGAAGTACTACCAGAGAAAAAGCAGAACAGAATACTTGCTAAATATTAAGCTAACATAATCATAATTCAAAATTTTAATGAATTTAAAATTCATTACCTATGAATCAGTAACTATATAAAGTCTTCTAAATACCTTGCTCAGATACTACAGCCATTGTAATACTTTACAGTTAGAGTGAATGAGTGAATAAAGAATGTCTAGGTTTTACTACATTTATAAGATGGTGCACAGACACAAGATGGCTCAGCCTGTACAAAGTGATTGATGACCGGAATTGGATGCCTGAAAACCCACATAATGGTAGGAGTGAACTGACTACTGCAAGTTGTCCACTGACCTTTGCACACAGGTGGCACATATGCACCCATTCCCAAATGAGGTACGCACACACACTAAAAGTAATGCCTTTTTTATTAAAATGGTGAAAAATATAAAAAATTGTGGTAGAAATACAGTTTACAGGCATTCATGTGGTTATAATGCATAGGCAGTTGAGAAAAACAAAGAAAATGCATGTACTCATTTTTAAAAATTGCTCTTAAGAGAATTTCAAGTTTGGAAATAACCTATACCAAATTGATTATATTGTAGAGCACAAAAAGAGACATAGAAGGAGACATAATTAAAATTGTTAGTATAAAGATTATAGAAGCAAATAAAAATATGCACTGTCATATAAAGCAAAAGATAGTTTTGAAAGTAATGGCCCATAATTAAGAAGCTAAGGAAAAGCAGTGGTTTTGGCAACGTCACTGATAAACTAATAAAACAATCAAGATAAAAAATTGGATTGCCTAGGATTTCAAGGTAAGTTGACAGTAAAAGCAGATTCTCAATTGAAGAATGATGAGTTCGTACTGGAGTAGTCATATCAACATTCCAGAGAATAGGAATTGTTTTCAGATAGGAAATTATAACTAGGAATGTGAGTTGTCCACACCTGGTTTGTTTTATTTTTAATTGCTTTTTTTTTTTTTTAAATATGGAATGTTTTGGTCTGCATTTGTACCTGGTGCCCTCAGGAGGCTAGAGGAAACAATTGAAACTCTAGGATCTAGAGTACAGTCGTGACCTGCTGTTCTGGTGTTGGGATTCAAACCAGAGTTCTCAAGAGCCACTGGTGCCCTTAACTGCTGAGCCATCTCTAACTCCCACCTGTTTTTCTAAAGTGAGAGAAGTCAAGCTAATCTCCCACAAGTCAGCTCTAGGCATGATTCTAGAGGGAGTAGGGCCAGCTCAGGACAAATTGAGTTTGGACAACCATTTCTCTTCCTTTGTCCCCGTATACTCCATAAACTTGTTTTCTTTCAAAATAAGAGTCTCACTATATTGCCCAAACTCATGGGCTCAAGTGATTTCCTATCTCAGTCTCCCAAGTAGCTAGGACCATGACATTGCACCGTTTTATGCCCATGCACTCCTCAAAGACAAGGCCTCTTTGATGTCATCTGAGATGTCCTTTGCCTTGACATCCTATGGATAATTTTTGGTTCTTGGTTTACTCCTTTGCTGAAGAACATATTACCTCAAGAAGTTGACAGTGTTGAATTACAGAAAATTACCATCATATGAATTGAAGGCACCTATTTTTCCTTAATTTTACATACATTGTGTGGAGAGACTCGTACATGTTGCAGTACTCACGTCAAAGTCAGAGAATGACTTAAGGAAGTTCTCCTTACACCACATGGTTTTAAACACAGCTCATAAAGACAAGACAGTCAGTAGCTTTACCTGCTGGATCATCTCTCTGGCCTACAAATTGGCCCTCTACCTGCCCATTTTCTCATTTTGTAGCTCAAACCCAGGGCCTTAAACATAGGAAATGTTCTACCATTGCTCAGTCTCAAGACATTGAGATCGGGTCTATGTAGCCTAGGCCAGCCTTTAACTTGTGAACTTCCCTGCCTTTGTCTTAGAAGGACTGGGATTACACCACAGTTTATCTCCTCTTTGAAGGCATAGTCAGATGCCTCGTTACAATTTCCTAAATAATTTTTAATTAACCTTTTAATGTACTTTGACATAGGATGCCAGCCACTCATTGAAAAATTAAGTAGAATATAATCTCTATAAGCCATTCACATAATACATGTCCCTTCCCAGCAGAATTTAGTGTGATCCCTGTTTCCCAGAACAATTAAGTTCAGAAGCTTTACGTTAAAAAATTACCTTGTAAAAATCAACCTACAATCCACTTTTAGAAGATAAAGTATTTTTATGTGGCCTTTAAATTTTCAACTTTTTGGCTGGGCAGTGGTGGCGCACGCCTTTAATCCCAGCACTTGGGAGGAAGATGCAGGCGGATATCTGAGTTCGAGGATAGCTTGGTCTACAGAGTGAGTTCCAGGACAGCCAAGGCTATACAGAGAAGCCTTGTCTCGAAAAACCAAAAAAAAAGAAGAATTCAACTTTTTTAAAAAAGATTTTGTGTATGAGTGCCTCATGTATATATACATCTGCCTGGTGGCTGCAGAGGCCAAAAGAACTTGCGATCCACACATTGAGGGTGCTGGGCTATGAAACCAGGTTCTTTGCAAGGACATCGAATGTTTTTAACTGCTAACCATTTCTTTAGCTCCCGAAACTTTTAACATTTGCTTCAGAACATGTTCTGTCTTTTAAGACTTTAGTTTTAACTGTGGTACTTTGCAGCATAGTTCTAAAACATTTTCCATCTTTGGGAGCTGAAACGTAATTCTGGTAATTTCTAGGATGGTTAACAGTATGTAAAAAGAACTTGGAAGTTTTTACTAGTTTACCTTATACAAGACCCACTATACACAGTGATTCTAAGGCTGAGCTAAATTTGGAGATCTGGATCACTATCTCACATTTGGCCTCTTATAAGGAGAAAATGAGAATTACAAACTTGAATTAGGGACAAACTTAGAAACCGTTTGAAACGTGAATACTATTAGTCATCCTACAAACAATACTATTCTTTGTAGATTCCAGCAGTAAAGCCTCTGTAATCCTTTCCATCTTTGACTTAAACCCATGTCAACTAA